GAATTAATGTAATATTTTAACATAATATTTTATCTTTATATTTTCATATATATGTGGGGTTGTTTTGTATCTGTGTACATATAGATATGTGCATGCATGTCTATTCTTCCAAAGCTTATTGAAAAGACCTAGAATATAAAACCAACCCAGTTGCAATATGTGCCCTTAGTATTCAGATTTTGGTCTTGAAATATCATTTCTTATCAAAAAGAACCAGAGATTTTTAGAGAAAAGACTGATTCCAGGTCAGAGTAGGAAATGTTTAAAATGAGCCTGGAACATATTATCATGACAAATAATGAATGTGACAGATTCAAGATGGCTGCAAAAATATCTTCTATTTCACATTACCTGGCATTGACATACACCTAGATAAGTGAAGCTCAGTTTTTAACATTTTGGCATATGGGAGAGCTCTAAGATTGCTTTGATAAATACAGCGAAAGAGACACTGGGCTAGCGTCTGCCTTTTAGTGTTTGCTCTTGGAAAGTTTCATCTTGGAACCAGCTACCATTCTATGAAAAACCAAAGCCATATGGAGAGTCACATGCATGGTCCATTTGAAACCTCAAGTGAGCTACTGAAAATGAGCATCTACTGCCAACCATGTGACTCTTCTGTCATTCAGTCAAGTTGAGCCTTTGGATGACTATAGCCTCAATTAGCAATTGAATGCAATATGAAGGACCCTGTGGTAGGCAGAAAAATATCCCCCAGAATTCCTAAACTCCAGAATCTGTGAATATGCTGTACATGGCAAAGGGTATTAAGGTTACAAATCACCTGACCTTAAAGTGGGGAGATTGTCCTGAGCTGTCAATGAGAACTCAGGTCATCAAGAATGCTTATCAGTGGAAAGGAGGCAGAAAAGGAGCATGGAGTGATGGAATGTGAAAAAGACTAGAGCTGCCTTGCTGGTTTTGAAGACAAAGAGGTCCCTGATCTAAGAACTATGAGAGGATTCTAGAAACAAGAGAAGGCAAAGAAACAGATTCTCCTCTGGAGTCTCCAGAAAAGAACATAGCCTGCCAACACCTCAGTTTTAACCCAGTGAGACTCATTTCTGATACTCTATGATAATAAAATTGAATTGCTTAAACCTTTAACTTTGTGGTAATTTGCAATAGTAGTATAGGGAATTAATATAGACCCCAAACCAGAACTATCCCATTGGGTCCATGGAATCATGAGAGATAATAAAAAAAATTATAGTTGTGAATCACTAAGTTTTGTTATATGGCAATAAACGACTGGATAGCAAGGAAGTAATCCAGTCTTTTAGATTTTCTTAATAGAAATCCTGAGCTATTGGGCAAGAAGAGGATAATTTGAGAATAAATAAGAATAACACTTTGGTAGATTAAAAGATCAAATACATGTCAATCTTTAACTTCACAAAGACACAACAAAATTGGTCACCTTGGGAGAATATCAGAAAACTAACTTACTATTTTGGAAACTGTTAAAAGAAAACATAAACACTTTGTCCACCTCTCTTTAATACTAGCAAATACTAGAAGAGGACATTTTTTTTCTTATTTTAATTTTGTTTTTTAAAATTTTCTTCATATAAGCTTCTCAACTAATATGAAGGAGTGATTAGAGAATTTTTATCATGTGATACATAAACAAGTAATAGGTATAATCATTGAGAAACATTCAAAAAGAGGTTCAAAGAGAAAATGTATATAGAAGAACACAACACTAAAATGAAGTGATCTTGGGGAGAAAAAGAAGCAAGGTGTTGAATTTTTTATCTGATAAACCTGTAGCCTCAACTAACAATTTATAGGCAAAGAACAGGAAGGATGGAGGAACATGTTAAACTATACCAAAAAGATAAAATGGACAAAATCTAGCAGGGGAAATTCTACATGTTAATATATTTGCTTCTTCAATAAATAAGTTGCAAGGGGTAAAAAAAGAATAGGTAAAAAGAATAGCCTATAGATTAAAAATTCCTCAAAAGACCTAATCTAAAAGTTAAAACTAAGGATTTTCCCTTGGGTGACAACAATAGAGATAGAGCTAATGAATCTCACCCTGGCGTACTTCCACATGTAGAGATAGACAGATGGAAAAGTCAGCCAAGGAGATGGAGTTGTGCCTAAAGAAGCAGGAGCAAAGCAGGTGGCATCACACAGTTCAAGAGAAGACAGTGTCCAGAGATGGGTTGTCACCTGAATGAAACGCTTTCATGAACTCAGTATGATGCAGACTGAAAAGTGGCCATTATTTGCCAATACGGAGTTTGGCAATATGGTGACCTAAGACTGGTGGCGGTGGAGGATGAGGGCAAAGCTAAATCAGAGTAAGTGACTGACTAAAGATGAGAAGAGGAGACATCAAACATCTACACGCAACTCTTCCAAGAAGCTTTTCAAGAAGAGGAGCAGAGAAATAGTGGGGTAGTTAGAACAATGTGGGCTTAAGGAAGATTTATTTTAAAACAGGGATTCATTTAAAAGTTAAGATTTGCACCAATGTATTTGTATGCTGAGGGCAAGCTTAAAGATATAAGAAAAAGAATAAAAAAGAGAAATTCTTGTAGAGGAGTTAAGGCAGCAGGAAACACAACATACATGGAAGCAGTGGTCTCTGGTAGAGGAAGGGCTGTTCCCTCTGGTAGAGGAAGCAAAAGGGAAATAGGGTCTTAGGTGAATCTGTGGATTTGTGATGCAAGGGGAGAGGAATTCCTACCAGACCTGGTACCTTCTTTCCTTTTACTTTGAAACAAGCCTACCATCCTCAGAGATGGATGGTAGAATCAGTGGGAGTTGAATCAGGCTATACAATTTATTAACCATAGGATTGAGGGTAGTGTTTTTTCAATAATTTTAGACTATTACTCACTAAGAAATACATTTTGTTATGACTCACTTCATACACACACACACACACACACACACGGATAATGGACATATAGACATCACATTTTACGGCACAATAATTAGCCCTTTCAGGTATAGATTATTTTTTTCTTTTCAAATTCAGTCAGGTAAACTAGATAGGCAAGAGTCAGAATGGATTGGAGTACAGGATTGGGGAGGGAGTAAACAAAGTGGATCCTATCCCATGTTAGGGCACTCACGAATCTCAAGTAGGGACCTCTGAAATTCATGTAAATTAGGGCTATTAAATCAGAAACTAACTAAAAAGATTCTTCCCAATGCACTTATATACTAAGAAATTATGATTTTAAGAATTTGTTTTCTTAATGTTTTTTAATTTTATTGAGAATCAATACTACTGATATAATAGTATAGAAAACAATTATATTAACTTTAAAAATGATTAGAAACATATATAATCACTACCTGGTTAAGCTATAAAGCATTTTCAGGAACTTGAAAATCTTCACCCCATCTCTCTATACCCCAGAGATAATCATTTTCTTGACTTTGATAATTATCTTGTTTTTATCTAGTATTTCACAACTTATGCATGATCCTAAACAATGTAGATTACTTTGGTATGTTTTTGTACTTTATGTAAATGGAAAGAAACATAATAGGTATGCTTTTGCACCTGGTACATTTCACTAAATATTATATACATGTTGATAGGTTTTTTTTTAAATTTTGTATTGCTATATGCAACTCCATAAGTGAATATAACACAATCTTTATATACATTATCTCGTGGCTGAACTTGTTTGGCTTGTTTTTGTCTGGGAATTGTACTTTATGTGTCCTTGCACATATCTCCAGGAGCTTCTCAGGTGTGTAGATCTAGGAGTAGTTCCAAGATCAAAGGGCATGAACACTTTCAACCTTACTAGGTAGGTTTGAACTTTTCCATTGCACACCAGGGGATGATTCCTGTTCTCATGTGTCATCACTACTCTGGACATTATGATATTTGTTGAGTTGCCAGTCTGATGGGTGTATATTGGTATTTCATGGGAGAAGTTAATGAGGATTTCTATGTTTTCATGTATTTATTAACCATTTGGATTTCAAAGTAGTGTATTTTGTTTCTTTTTTAAAATGCTGGTCAGGATTCACTAAACTAATGTCTTATTTTGAAAACAACAAATCTAGAGCATATTATTTTACCTTTCTGAATCTATTTCCTTACCTATAAAATCGAGATGACAATTTCATAATGTCATTATGATGATCAAATAAGATATCATGTGGGAAGCACATAATGGTGATGAGCATACTGTGTGTGCTCAGTGAGTGGTAAACTGTTACTAATATTATTTTTTAAATGGAAATAAAATTATTAGGGTCTGAGTCTGGGTGTAGTCAGTTGATAAACTGCTGCCCGGATCTCAGCTCAGGTTTCATGAAACCCACAGCATATCACTTCTTTACTTCTCTCAAAATGATAGTCATGCCTCCAGCTACTTATTCTTCCTTGTTGAGAAAGTGTAAAAATACTATTTACTTGGAATTTGAGAGTGATCCCTTGGACAACAGTATGGACATTAATGTTGGCAAGGATTCATGGACCCTGCTTGCCCTTGAAAAGGATATGCTCTGCTCCAGCAGGGTGTCTATGAACATATGGTCTGAGGCCCATGACAGCATACTGTGACCTTGAGAGATACCCTTAACATAAGCACCAAAGCCCACTACTCTCTGCTTCTTGTTAAAGACCCCTCTTTTATGAGCAGTTACTATGATGCAAAAGATTAGACTGAGAGGGTATTAGAATGAATTTTGGATTGTAGGTAAAAATTTTTCCCATATAATCTCTTGTGAAGGTTTAGTCTGACAAGCTACACTTTTTTAAATTATCCATTTATTCTCATGATGCTGGGGACAATCATGAAGAAAAAGATTCCACCAGTAAGACTGGATTTTGTTTCATTTTATTTTATTCTAGTAACTCACTAGAGACTGTAAACTCCTGGGCTTGAGGTGCCTGGGAAATAGCAGGAAGCTTTGACAGAGGGAAAAACATGAGCAGTATTCTAAATACAGCAATAGCAACTTTTAACAACACTGACTTGCTTGATGAAATAACTACTTTTTAGAAATAGTCAAAATTTTATGCTTGAGTTTTATTTGAAATGCTTCCTTTCTATAAAGTCATCTAGATATTTACTAGATAATTTGGAACTCTGACAGCATTCCAAGATCATAATTTTTAATGTATTCTTTCTAAATAATGACAATTTTTTTTTCTCCAAGCCAAAAGAGGTATTCCCATGCTTGAAATGCTATTTTAATTTCTAATTTATTCTTAAGGGCTAATTTGCAAAATGAAATTGTTTGGATGATTGGTTTGCAGTAAACATGGTGTACCAAATTGGTTTCTAAATTTAGAGAAAGGTTGAATCTCCTCTTATAATAATCAAGAAATAATAGAAGTATTAATGATAATAAAGCTTCCATAATTAAAAAGTCAGAAGTAACAAGCAGAAATGAACATTAGCAGGTAGCAGCTTCATTATTTATAATTCTCACAAATGGTTATTTTGAGTTCTTTTCATTGGATAACCCAACCTCCAAAATATAGTTTATTTAAATGGTAGTGTGATCTCTTGGACAACAGTGTGGATGTTATGTGCCATAATTAAGCTCCATAATCTTGGGGAATTTAGTACTATTAAATGTAACTTAAAGATACAGGAAACTGTAGAATTCTTAGAGCTATAAAAGAAAGGCAAAGTTGTTTTAATAGAAGCTGATTCCTATGTCTGATATTTTAAAAAAATTTAGAAAGTGGTAATTATTGTTATTCGTACAAATGTTCTCAAAGAAAAATATTATATACATATAACAGAATTTGAGTATGAGTTCTATATTTTAAATATAGTAGATTCCATGTCCCTTCTTGGAGGTTTCTGAGGACTGATTTTTGGTAAGACCTCTTTGGCGTACAATGTTTTATGAAGTCCAGCTTCACGAAGTGCTAACTCAAAGCGAAGTCGAGGGTCAGAAATTATCTGTAGAAATAAAATACAACTTAAGTGAATAAAAATCATTGAACTAAAACAAACTTTTATCACTTAGTTTCATATTTTCCAAAGTTGCATAATTTTTGTTACATGACTAAATGACCACGAATTTTGTGAATACTGTGAATACATTCTGATGATTTTTACTGAAAACATCCAAGTACTTTTTGCCATTGTCACTTTCCACTATGTTAGTTGTTTCCAACATAGACTGTATAGAATATTGTATTCTAGATTAGTCAAAATACATTACATTAAAATTATTAAAAGATGAGATAAAGAAACCAACTCTGAGTACTACAGAATCATTATTTATTGCTGACTGCAATATAAAATGCAGACAATCATTGATTAAAATAAATCTAAACCATAACCTTGTATATTTGTCTTTAAATAAACATTTTAATTTCCATATCATTTGGCATTATGCAAATTGTTTAAACACATGGCCACTACTTGAAAAACAAAATCAATAGAAACTTTCTTACAAGGCCAGATTTCTATTTCAAACAGAACTAGAAAATGACTCCATCAATCTGATTCTAAGTGGGAGTAGACATATGAGTAATTTCATTTCTGTTTTCATTTCTTGCTGTTTGGGCCTTATTCCTCTTCCCCTCATATGACTACTAAATGTCAACAGATACTACTTACAATGACAGGAAGATGGACACATATGGGTTTTACACAATGAGGCATTGCACCTGGATTTGAAGATGCCCTAGGAGATGAGATAATAAGCTATTGGAAGCAGGCCCTCCTTCAAAGAGTTCTTCAGTGAATGGGCATAATAAGAAGGTACACAGACAATTGCAGTTTGTGCAGCATGTGACAAATACTCTTAGAGTAGAAAAACATGGAGGTGCATCTCCTAGTGCTGGTGAATGAGGATAGTCTCAGATAAGAAGAAGCAATTGAACTAAACCTAAAGTTCAACTTTTCATAATGCAGAGTGGGAAGGAAGGAAGAGAAATCAAAACAGAAAGGAAAGAACAAGCAAACTTAGGTGAAATAGGTCAATTTGGGATGGGGTAATTTTTTGGCAGAGCACTAAGTACCATTAAGGAACACTGGAAAAGGACACTTTACAGACTAGAATTTCAAGTTAAAAGGCTTCAAGGCCATGCTGAGGAGTCTAAGTATCTAGTGGGGTTGTGTTTATTTTTGCTTTTAGTAGAAAAGTAATATAATTATTGTAGTTCCATAAGAAGGAGACTCTGACAGCAAGTTCAGCATGAATTAAATGGACAGGGAAAGAAGAGAGAGGGGTAGGTCAGTGGTCAGGAGTCTACTACAATTGTCTAGACCTGAAATAATAAATGCCTAAATGTGGCTGTTAGTAAGGAAGAACTATTAGAAACACTGTGAAAGAAGGAGATAATACAATTTGGTTACTGATCAGATATAGGTGTAGGGAAAATGATGAGTATAGGGTCAAGATTAATACAGAGATGTTTCTCAGAAACAATCACCTGCAGCCTTAGATCCTCTTCTGCCTCAACATATTCTGTCTACTCTCATCCATTCCCTATGATTCATGTTCAGACTGTGGCCTGTTGACTCCAAAATTATTTCCAGGATTTACCTTTTTATTCAGCTCCAGGGTAGTAAGGTCTAAATTTGTTTCATTATTCTATTTTTAATAGATAGTAAATAAAGAGGGGATCTCTCTCCTACCCAGACCTCCGTCTCCCTCTCCAGAGGCAGATAATCAGTTTCTTATAAAGGTGGACTAGACAGCTTGGCTTTAAACATAACATGAATGAAACAAATTCTCCTGCCAAAGTTTGTTTTCCTTCTGTAGTCTTACATGGTTCATAGCAGCACCATCCAAAGATTGTAATCCACTCATTTATTACAAGGTATCAGGCAATATTCTAGGCAGCTAATATTTATTATTTTTAATTCTCACAAAGTCTTTGCAATAAATTACTTTAGGATAAATAAGCATAAAGATGTTAAAGCTTACATAAGCACCCATCTAGTAAATAGTGGATGTAGATTTGAGTCCACAATGAGGGCTCTTAGCAATATTGCTTACTGTTTAGCTCATCATCCTTACTTTCTTTATCCCCTCCTTCTCCAAATCAGAGGCATTCATGGCCCTTTCACACCACTTCTAAGATGGTTCTCCAACCTTAAAAGGACCCCTTGCTCATTCTCAGCAATTTTCCAATCAGGACACAGGCTAAAAACATAAATCTGCTTATATAATTTACTCGCTTCAAAGTCTCATGTCTGTAGGTCAGATGCCTTAGCAGCAAGCCTTAGGTTTGTGCAGCTGCTCCTAATCCATGTTTCCAGTCTCATGTCTCAGCACTTGTCATGTACCCCATGCCATGTACCTTACACTGAAGACAAAGCAGCTGCCCTCCCCACTTTGGCAGCTGGTATTTGGAGATACTGTGAACCCTTATAAGTAATCCTCTCCCACAAACCTACTTTTTGTTCTTGTAAACCATCTCAAGCGAATTTTATTTTTGTTCCAAAAGATCCTTTGACCTAGATAGAGCTCAAGATTTCTCTCTGACACATTCTCCAACCTCTCAGTCAGGGTGAAATGCTCCTTTCTTCTCTTGCTGCAGTAACCCTCAGGCCTCCACTGTAGAGCTGATCTCACCCTCATGGCATGATTTCTGCACCTGCACTTTCCCTCCTAACTAGGGCTTCTGCTGACTTCCTGCAGGCTCAATCTATCTTTTCAAGATGTAGCCCAGAGCTACATCTTGCACAGAACCAGAAAATAGTCTGTTCCATAAATATTTGTCCAACTAGTAAATCAATGAATTATCCTTGTTTTTATTCTCTAGCAAAGTATGCAGCACAGAGTCAAGGCACAGTGGATTCATTTGATAATGGATGATGTTTCCTAGTTTTTAAATAATTAAATAAGTAGTTATCTTTTCTTCTTAGATTTTTGAAGTTAACAACTACTCTCTCCCTTAATTTCAGTTGTATTCACTTCTACTCTCCAACTTCCTCCCATTCTCCAACTTTAGTCCCTTTCAGGCACAGACTAAAATTCCAAAGTTCCTAGGAATGATTAAATAATCCCTCAATGGTTTTTCCACAGAAAATATTTTATTTATCAATTAGCTCTGATGAATTATCTTCTGTTTATTTTAATTTCTGAAAGCTTTCTTCTTTGTCTCATCAGTATCATTGGTTGTTTACTTATAAAATTTATGTTATGAATTTGTTTCTAAATTCTTAATGCAACATAGAAATATTTAAACAAAATAATATTAACATGACTTTCAAATGAAACTTTATAAAGTTGGTTGTTAAATGTAAAAACTAATTTTCAATTACAAATCTATAACATTTTCAGGTAAGTTGTTTCATTTATGGTCACCTATTAGTTATTTTAATATTAGAATTATGCAGTAATTATATGCTATCATTTAGATATAAATATTATGTTAATATGTGTACTATTCAAATGTAAATATTGAAAACAATTTGTAATCCCAAACACACACTTTGCAGTTCTTATCATCATCATGGCTTTTTCAGCAACTATGCTAATTTCCATAATTACCTGCTGTTCATTGTATGTATTTAATGTAAAGAGGGGCTTTTGAAGAATAAACTCTTCTTCAATTTCAACAGCCATTCTAGCTTTTGATGCCACTGTATCCGACATCATTCTAACAGGATCAAACTGAGCAACAACAGCAACCTGAAAGAAGAGAAGGCAGGCCAATTGGAATAAGATATAAGCTAAATATGTTATAAATGTTTAATGCTTATTAAAGTTAAGAAATTTTACTAAATCTAATTCTTGAAGGGGCAGAAAGAACATTAAAACTAGGCTGGTCCTAGAGGTCCACAGAGGAATTAAAACTTACATAAAGAAAAATATAGTAAGACCATGATATATATATATATTTGCTAATAATTAAATAATTATAATTATGATTCATTTCAGATAATTAATTCATCTTTCTGATGAAAGTCATAGGAAATTCTACATAAAAACCTACACAAATACCTTGAACGCAACCAAAAGTGAAAAAAATATTTATTTTTAACTGATAGCAACTTATTCCTATAGTAACAATAGCATGAAGCCTTCAAGAAAGTTTAATCTAATTAAGCTGAATCTAGAGCATATACCCAGTCAAGTGTGTTGGTAATATTGGGTGAGATGGGTGAATTCTACTGTATCAGGCTCCTAAGATGCCCAGAAACTGCTAGAAAACATTTTCTTCCTTCTACTCAAAAACTGCAGAGTTATTTTAACATAAATGTCCTTCTGCATGATAATTCAAAACCACATCTTAATAAAAAGAAGTCACTAATTTTGTAAATTACATGCACCATTAGTAATACCTGCCTGTTATTCTGAAAAGTTAAAAATTAGCATTAAGCAAATGGCATTTTTAGTGCCATTTAGAAACTGTACTGAAATAAGATTAAACATACTTTAATTATTATAGATTTCCTAGCTAAAATATCTTATAATTCTAAACACTTTTTATATTTAAAAAAACTTATTTTTTAGCTTTAGGTGGACAATATCTTTATTTTACATTTATGTGGTGCTGAGGATCAAACCCAGTGCCTCATGCATGCTAGACAAGCCTCTACCGCTAAACCACAACCCCAGCCTCAATAGTGATTACATTTAATGGGCATAGATATTTCTGTTTTCAAAGGGCTCACAGATGGAAGAAATTTTAGTCATGTGGAACCTGTAGTTATCAAAGTTGTATTTTGTATACAGAATGTGTTTAGTAATAGTGACTTTGAGTCTTGACCTCAGAAGACTATATTATCTGCTAATAATTGAAAATTTGAATTTGTCAGATCCAGAATGACCAGGGCTTACATTCCTATGCTTTGAATTTATCTCTCTAACCTATTTTATCAAGGAAGATGATGATTTAAGACTTTTGTGGGTTTACACTATCTCTACCTTGTCACTTAACTAGATCTTGTTGATTTCAACCCTGTTTGATATTTACTACATATATGATTTTGGAAAAAGCACCTAGCCTTTTCATCTCCTCAGTTTCTTCTTTGGTAGAATGGGGATATTAATAGTAGCTATATCATTTAATCTGTAGAGATTCGGCACATAAGAGTTTTTGGAAAAGGGTTTTACACTTAGTAAATTTGTTAATAAACTTGAACTCACATTACTACAAATCTATAAAGCAGGTACTATTATTTCCATTTTTCAGATGAGGATATGGGAGCCAAGGGAGATTAAGTAAATGACCTTACTATCCTCTGCCAGAGTCCCAACCCAAGTTGTCCTAGGTCAGAAGGGCACCAGAGGGCAAGTTCCTACCCATTATTCTGTATTACCTTCACTGACAGCAAAGAGGAACCAGACACCTCCCCTGGTAGCTAGAACATGGTGTCAACAAAGAATGTAGAGCTTATGCATTAAAACAATCATTTTAGGTTTAAATTTCTGAGAATTACTAAGTAAAACTTTTTCATCACATTTCCCAAGTTCTTATATTTCTGCTCTTTCCATCTCCTGTTTACTTTCATTTACTTTTGCTTAGTTTTTATTATACAAAGTAATGGGAGGTTTTTATTTCTACACACACACACACACACACACAATGTATTTTCAAAAAAAATGGCTTTTAACTTATTTGTTGACTGTGGAATATTTCCAAGCAAAGGTTCCTACCCCAAAGAAGATTATCTTGCTCTACCACATTTTTTTGAGGACAATAAAATCCTTTGAGTAGATGAAGTTTCACTGTTGCAAATGGGTACTATTCACCTAATAAACTAGAGGTGATATGGATGCTTTTAAATTCTGGGAAAGCTTTTTAAAAGGTGCTGATGAAGTTCTTTTAATATACTGAGAAAATGGAAATGGTTCAACATAAATCTAATTGCTCCCTGGAATGAAGATCAGTGTCCCAATTTGGAAAAGTTATGTTTGATAAAGCAGATGTCATGAACTAAGTCCTAGTAACAATGTAATTAAGAGCAGTTAGAAACATTAAAAAAAAAACCATGAAAATTTTCAAATTAAAAGCACCTGTTTTCTAAGGGCTTCTAGGCGCCTCTCTCTCTCCTCTTCTTCATGTACTTCTTGAAGGGCCAGTTCCTTTTTCTCCATCAAATGCTTTTCCAATAATTGTTGTCTATATTTAACCCTTTAAAAATAATACAGGAAATTGATGAAATTATGTGCATGTATGAATATTTCATAACAACTCCCACTATTATGTATAATTATTTTGCACTAATAAAAAATGACAAAATAAAACTAGCACACAGGAATGCTGGGGAAGTATCACAGTAACTCTGGAGAACAGAGGTGCAGAGGCTTCTCAGAGGTGACATCATTCTCATGTTTTTATTTTACTCTGCGATTGATTTCTCATCTCCTAAGAACAAAAGACAGCATGTGAAATTTATAATGATTCTAATAACAACCAGAGAAATCCAGGAAAGCATGAGGTAAAATCCAGTTCACCTCGTTCCTCATTGAAACCATTTCATTACCTTCAACTACAGCTGTTGCAGCTGATCTTCCCTGAGATTTCTATAACATTTTAACACAATTTGAGATGTTAAAAGACTATACTACTGATTAAAAATACAGAGTTTTAGAAAGAAAAGTAAAATAAATTGCTATAGTAATGTGTGTAAATTATTTTGCTTACTGAAACTTAAACTAAATTTAATATACATTGTCACTCATTTTGTCAAAATGCCCTTTCTGAATGGTGTGTTAAGAAACTTAAAAAATTGCACTTTGACATCTGTAGATGGCAGCAAAAACATGACTTTCCCTTAGCATTATATTTCCACCCCCTTCATGTAATCAGATATTAAATCAGGACACATTTAAATACTGGTTTAATGCCACAAAGTCATTTGGTCATCCTCTGCTTCCTGCTTTTGGGCAGCCTCCTTTGCCATCTTCTTGCTCAAACATTTCTTCTACTGAATTACAGAGATGAGACTCATCTTTTTGAAAAAGTGAGTACCTGAATTCTGTGGGTAGCATTAGGCCATTGCTCTATGGTTTAGTCAACTTTTTTGCTGCTGCGACTGAAAGACCTGACACAAACAATTTTAGAGGAGGAAAAGTTTATTTGGAGGCTCACAGTTTCAGAGGTCTCAGGAATGGAGAGCTGGCTCCATTCCTGGAGGCCTGAGTCGAGCCAGAACATCATGGCTAAAGATTGGGGCAGAGA